ATCAGTGGAAAAACCGAAAATTGACTAATCATTATGCAAATTAGGTAATTAGTATCCACGGATTATTACCAAAAACTAATCAAAACCTAGCATTAGTTCAGAGCATCTATGTACCAAGTTTCATCAAAATCCAATGAGTGGTTGTTTAGATATCAGTGGTACAGTCATGGAACCACTAAAAAATAGCTAATTATCATGCAAATTAGGTAATTAATATGCACAGATTTTTACCAAAAATTAATCAAATCTGCGCATATGTTCAGAGCATCTATGTACCAAGTTTCATCAAAATCCAATGAGTGGTTCTTTAGATATCAGTGGAACAGTCATAGAACAGCTAAAAAATAGCTAATTATCATGCAAATTAGGTAATTAACGAGCATGGATTTTTACCAAAACCTAATCAAATCTGCGCATTGGCCCAGAGCATCTATGCACCAAGTTTTATCAAAAACCGATGTATGGTTCTTGAGATAGCAGTGGAACAGTCGGACACACATACACACACACATACACACATACACACATACACACATACACACATACAGACACACTAACTGCAAAGACTCCCATTTTGTGCTTCGCACATGGGAGTCAAAAACCATTGTATATTCTATCAAATAATCTAATTAGGAATAAATAAAAAATATCCATATGAAATACAATCTCTCAAAAATGGCCAGTCAAAGGTCATGCAAGTGAAAAAAACAAATTGATGTACAGATGTAGTTACATGTCTGAGATATAAAATGACAGATTGACAAATGAGCAGATAAAAATAAGTGCTCGTTTCTGACTTCTATCAAGTACTAAAACAGCTGAATTTACATCCTTTGAAACTCGTACAGAATAGCATCTTCATCTTCACTGTGCATGGGTACCTGAGTTGTCATTAAAGGCAGCGTGGTCCCAATTTCATATAAACACACAATGCATTGTAAATGATGCCACCACATACACATCTTAATCTGTCCTTACCTCAATATTTAAATCTCCTTTAGGAAAAAAATATTTATATGTCCTGCTACGAGCACTGAATCTGTAAAAACAGAATACTTTATTCAATAACAGTCATATAGGAATCACAATGTCATATGAAAATAACTATTGACCAGCCAATAAGGTTTCAACACACTGTCACATGACAACAACTATTGACCAGTTGTTTTCAGTATGCATATTATTCGTGTATATAACTAAAATAATGGAAATTAGAATCTTGCAAAATATCGACAAAATAAATAAAAAAGGTTATTTTCATTCTTTTAAAATAGATTGAAAATTTGTTGTTCCCTATATGCAGCCAATAGGTTATATATAACCTGTATAAACTACCGTACTCTCATTTTATATGTGTGGTTGACACCAGTATGCTGTCATGTTCTAAATTAATTTGAAGTCCTACTTTAGAAGTTATAGATGAAATCATTTCCTCAATTTTTTAGATGCTACAAGTATGGTGTCATACTTTACCCATAAATCTTGTCTAAAGGCATGTCTAAAATATTAGGATGGACTGACAAATGGCCAATCCCAATTTGGACTAAAGACCTATAAATTCATTCTCCTGCATTTGTGGTAGTGTCAAAAGTTTAAGATTTAAGATTTTATTCAACAATTGAATTACCTTGCATCGAAATCCGGATCTACTGGAGTCCATGCTAACACTCTTATCTCATCAGGAAGAACTTTATTTAAAATATGCACATATCGGATTTCTGTTGACTTATCCCCTAAACAAATGATAAGAGGAAAGCTGAAAGCATCTGCCAGTCCTCCAATAGTTATTACGTGGTATTTACCCTTGTAGTCTACACCATATGTCTAGATTACGGCCAATGCCATTGTAACACATACCTTGTCTCTCAGCAGCACTACCATCAGTTTAATTTTCACACCTGTACCATCTAATAAATTAGTTCTGAGATCAATTGATATGACTTGACTGAAAGCACTGACGCCTTTATCTGTTCTTCCACACCTAGAATAACATGATGACTGCCTGTTTTCTATTAACCGTGTTTTCTGGAAAGCATCAAAGAGCATTGCCTGCAATGAATACATTACAAATTTTTGGAAGTTAAAGTTGGAAACAGAAATGTATTACTACCTCCTTCATGTGGTGGTGCATGTTTACATGACCATCATTTTTGTTGTCTATTTCACTCGCTTCTAGGAAATGCTGAAAAATCAGAGCGAGCAAAAACAATGATCACAAACTAGGTTTGCGCAGATGACGACCCTCTCGCTTTAAAATATAAGCGTTGTTATTTTGTGGTAGAGCAGGTGTGAGTGATGTATGGTAGATGTATTTGTGCATGGTGGATGTCTGTTCGATGTGATAAAATAAATAACACATGGTTATTCGGACAATATCACGATTTGTTGTCCTTCAGGCTGGTGGTCATGACCATAATATAGATAATATAGGTAACAAATCGTGATATTATCCTCACAAACATGTGTTATTATTTAAATAGAACACTTTCCCAGAAGTCAATGATACAGTGTTTTACATGTGTATGGGAAGCAACGTAAAATAGAACACCTGATATTTGTCACATGACTAACTCTACTTACTAAATTAAAATTAAAAAATGTTGTCACACTGAGGGCGCTATCTTATAATATGGTGTTATAAAAGAAACACAAAATGAATGTAACAAGAAAATGCATTCGTACTCACCTCAATTGTGTTATTTTTTTCATTATCCTGGCTGGCAAATCCCTGGTAATCCCATCCCAAATATGCTATCTTAAGCGCCACATGTCGTGTGTTATATCTACAAACAAAACAAAACAGAATTAAATACATGGTTTTCATAGCGATTGATGATTTCCAAACTGTTATGGTAACTAGAAAAAGTTTTATGACAGAGTCAGCGCAACAATGACAAACATTAATATTTTTCCTAAACCCCAAGATACAAGCAAGATACCATTAATAACAAAAATGCATGCATAACCAGCAATATCAATCCCACATTTACAACTGAACATGTGTATAATTTTTTGGTTAAGTATAGAATTATCTGGACTAATAATTTATGTGTGTATAGTATACAGCATATAGTTGTATATCGATGTCAAGTAATGGTATAAGGAAGAAAACTGGTGTACAGAGGTATCATTTACCCAAACTAGTTTTTTTAATGATGTACTTCAATTGAAGCAAAAATCAAAGAAAGCTTGTGTGCTGAGAGAGTATAGGAGACTTATTAAAAAATCATTAGCTTTCCAAACAAGAAGCTTGGCAACTAATATTTGGCTGTTATTTGAGAAACCATGTGATCCACATTATTGAAGTTTATAATACACTTGATATTACATCTGCGATTTTCAGTTTAATTTATTCCAGAGCACCTCTACCACAAGTTCAATTCAAATCTGATTTTTTGTAATATCAGAAATTGGCTAATAGTAATAAATATGCATGTTTTTCATTAATAGACTAATCATGTCTTTGGATTACTTCAGATCATTGATGAACCAATTTTTAATGAAATGTGATGATTATGCGCACATTGTGCAAATTCAGAAATTAGTATGCTTGAATTTCAATCCAAATAAATTGCATAAATGCAATAACGGTAATTAGTTTTTGAAACAAATTTGATAATTATTATGCAAATTAAGCAATTGTTATGCATAGATTTCAACCCCAGACTAATTTGGTCTGTGTATTGTTCCAGGGCACATACCAAGTATCATTATAATGTGATGATTAATGATTCTTCAAAAAAATGGAAAGCCAAAAAGTAAAATTATCATGCAAATATATAAACTAAACTAAACAGGTCCTAGAGCATCTATGAAAAGCCAGAAATTGACAAATGATTATGCAAATTAGGTAATTAGTATGCACAGATTTTTACTAAAAACTAATCAGGTCTGTGCATTGTCCCAGAGCATTTGTGAGTGATTCATTAGATATCAGTGGAAGAGTCTTGAACAGCTAAAAATTAGCTAATTATCACACAAATAAGGCAATTTTTATGGCTTTCAACCAAAACCTACTCAAATCTACATATGGTTCTTGAGATATCAGTGAAACGATATCTTGGGAGCCAAAAATTAACTTTCAGAAAATCAGCCCAGAATTCTGGCATATTAATATTTATTATTATATAATAATTGTAAATGTCTGCATCATTGCTAATGCAAATTAGATCACAAAGTCCAATAATTATAAAAATTTACATTTTGTTTTCTGTTTGCCATCTTGAATTGTTATCATTACCAGCATAAACAACAACAAATCAGACTTGTATCTACTCTTAACAGACTAATTGGATTTGGATT